CCAAGCACTTGTGCCCCTTGCTGGTTCTCGCTCACCCAGCCTTCGCTGTCCCAGTACCACTTTGGCATCGGAAGAAGGCGGGGTACGCCGACTGGCCTTCAGGTCATGTTTTGGTCGTATCAAGCGTCCGAACCACGATAGGCTGTCTCAATCATGCATTTGCGGCTGTGTGTGCCGAGTTTGATTTGTGCGATGCGCAAGTTTTCAAGCGCAGTCGGCGACATCCACGCACGTAACATGTAGAGATGCGACCTACAGGAAATGGCACGTATCAATGCGCGTTCCCCAGTCTACCACACCGCATGCCTGCTGCATGACGAAATCCATGGCGCTGGTCAAAGATCGAGTGTGTTCGTTTTGTTGTGTCAAAAGACCTCAAAAGAGCTCCTCGCACAATGTCCTACATGGTCAGGTCTGACAGTACGGCTGAGGCCGTTGACAAGCTTCAATTCGGGTTCCGGCAACGAGGATCTAGACATGTCTTCTTCAGGTGGGTAAGATGACAGACTCGAGTCAGACCCTCAAACGAATTTCTTAACTACCTCGCCACAGCTGCTGCGTGAAGGTCGTGACTCTCTAGGTCAAGTCCCTGAGTGGCTGCAGCATGCCAGTTCCGCACCCGTTCCCTGACAGAAGGAAGCGTAAAAGGAATCGCTCGAAACAGCAAAGTGACCCCTATGACTGTAAACCGACAATACATGCTTGGGTCCGCACTGCAATCGCTCTGGAAATGCTTAATTGAGGTTTATGGGGGAATGTCTTGGATTGAGCGCACGTTTTCGGTGGTCCAACTTTTCATGTCCGCCTGTACTGTAGAGGTTGCGAAGGTTATGGCAGTTGATGGCTGTGCAAGTCTCTGAACCCTCCTCCCCTGCAAAACACGAAGTGCATCAAATCCTGACCTTCCACAGAGCTGTGCTCAAGGAGTCGGGGTGCCGAGACTTTGGGGCCTTTGCCTTTTTGTCCTTGGACATGGGCGAGCTCATAGCAAGGCAATCAGGTACAGCCGGTGCAGGTCTTCCAGCAAAGGGATCCAAAGGCCGCATCGGCGCACCAGCCAAGTGCCTCTCCGTCCGCGCAGGTAGCGACGTCCCCGAATCTCGGGAAGGTCGCGTCCTCACAAACCTGGTTGCAAAAGCCTGGGCAGCCGCTCGGGGGATCCCCGGAGTCGGTCAGATTGGTGCATCCGCAGCTCTCAGGACAGAGACGCGCCAGGGGTGCAAAAAGCGGCTCGTAGCCATCGCACCATCTCACATTCCTCACAACTTCGCGGTTCCAGCGGCTGTTGTTCAAGGCAGGGCAGCCCTGCGCCTTCATTTCCTGCATCATTTCTGCGATTAGAGCGCCCACAGTACGATCGCCCACCGTGCTGCTGAATAGAGACTGGCCTGTGTCGTTCTCAACCGCGCTCGGATAAGTATCCCAGAAGGCATCCCAGGCAGGAGTTGCATTCGTTTGTATATCCACACAGGAACGTGCAGGATTCTTGTCAGACTCTTCCACACATCTCAGTGGACAGCCTGAGGCTGTGGTTTTGTACCAGCTGTTGCGGACCTCACCTGAGCAACAAGTCTTTCCGCAAACAAAGCGCACCAGTGAGCCAGAAGCCAGGTCGCAGAGATGGGCCATGTCCTCGCAGGAGGTGTTTTCGGGTAGACCTTGATCAGCCAAAGCCGAGTGCCAGTACGGAGCAAAGTAACCCACCAAGCCCGGAGGCGTGTTGCCTGGTAGGAAAAACTGGTCGAAGTCTTCACACCAGGAAGTGATGGCCTGTGCAGTCTCCTTTAGTCTCAGCATCCGCTGTTGCTGGAAGCGTTGGAGGTCGGCCTGCATGAGAATGTACTTCGGCTCCCCATCTTTCATGTGAAATTCCTCAACAGCTCGCTGGCTTAAAGTTTTGCCTCCGACGTCTGCAAAGGCCACAGTAGGGAAGCCGACGGTGAGCTGGATGTCCTCCAAAACCGAAAGCATAATCGCAATCAGGGGAATGGAAGCGAGAACTAAGTTGAGGGTACGCCTCTTCCTCGACCTGCTCCGCAATCCTGCTTCCCCCTACCTCCTCTTCCTCCTGTTACAACTACCCCTACTTCCAGGGCCAGAGCTACCGCTACTCTACTACCACTACCACCACCACGACGACCACTGCCACTACCAGCTACCAGTACTACGACCACTACTACGAAGGAAAATTGCTTGGACTGCTGACTGCTACGGCGACCCCATGAAGAGGGCTAGCGTAAAACACGCCCTTGCACGCTCTGTAAGTCGAGACCCAGGAGCTTCGTTGAGTGCCACCACGAAGTCTTGGTTCCCGGCGCAGTAGGCCTTCTTCACTCGTTCCATGGTGCGGCCCAGAGGTTCCAAAAGGCTGAACCAAGGCCAGCAAAGCAGCGCTGCCATCAGAAGCAAAGTGAACACGGATTCCGCCTGACTCCGGCGGCGGCTGTAATGCACCTTGATGGCCTCTAAATCCTGGACCTTCAGTTGCAGCTTCTTGGGCATCAAGGTAGCAAAGATCATCTCGTCCACTTGGAGGATGGCACCCAAAGCCTGGCTACGGCAGACTCTGTGTCTTCTTCGTTATAAGCGCCAAAAAGAAAGCAAAAAGAAAGGGAAACACTGGACGCTCCCTTGCGCCCCCGCCGGGGCCCCGGGCCACCGCGTTCAAGATGAGGTCCTCAATGGAGGTGGTGCCAGCAAGCCAGAGAATGCCAGCGTAGAGGAGGGCCAAAGCAATGAGGGCCCTCAACAGGCGAAGCCCACAGTAGGACCAGAATCGCATGTAGGACATCGAAAGGAACCGTCCCTGATGAGATTTCGTCGTCTCAGCACGGGGTATCTGCAGCACTGCCTCTAACGAGAGCCCGATGGTGCGGAGCTCATTTCCAACATAGAGGCACCTCCGATTCTCCGATCTCAACAACAACAAGAGGAGGCTTGCGACTGGGGCCTGCTAGGAGCAAACAGCGAACCGGAGCCACGTGTAATAAACTTGGACTCTCTGATACCGTCGCCAAGGGACCAGAGGAAGATACAAAGCATCGACAGTAGGATACCGGGTCGGAAGCCCTCCGTCTCAAACCTGTCTGCATCAAGACCGAGGAAGTTGTTGATGTCCTGCACCAAGCCTGCCTTGGCAAAGGGCGAAAGGTGGCGAAGCTGTGCTGTGCTGGACTGCTAGAGTTGCTAGAGTTGCTAGAGTGCTAGAGTGCTAGAAGAGCTGAAGTCGGAGCAACGAGGCTCCTTTGCCGGGCCTGGGTGTTTGAGAGAATCAAGCCCCCGTCGTTGTTGCAAACGCGCGCTGTCAGGCTTGTCTTGGCAAGGTCCATGTACTTCCAGTCGTGTGCGGCGCTGTTCCTCCACTCCTGCGCTACAGTCACCTGAGCTTCATCGAAGGGATCCCCCAGGAAAGATGGCGTAAGCAGGATCGCACAGAAGGCGATCTGCATCCCTGCGCTGGCAATCAGAAGCAACCAAGCAATCACCAAGTCGATCCAACCGACGCTGGCATGACCTGCGACCAGCACCAAGTTCCAGGTGGTCTCAAGGAAAGCAACCGGGTCCATCGTATCTTCGGAAAGCGCAGTGAATGTGGGCTCTGGAGGATCTGTAGGATCTTGAGCTTCCGTGTCTCCCTTCGCCCGTTTTGCCGGGCCATGTCCGGAAAGCACAGGCATCTGCGGCCGGTCCTCCAGGAATGCGAGCCTCGTCGAAAGGAACCCCTTTTCGGTGCCCTGGCCGCCGCCCAGCTCGACTTCGAGTCGATGCTCCAGAGCGGCCAATCTGGAGAGGCACCTGCAGGACTTTTGGGTGGGGGAAAAGAGTCTCGAAGCCGCTACCGTGTTCTGCGAATTTCTCTATGCTTACGACTTACGACTCTGGGATTCCCTTGAGAGGTGTCTTGTGTGCTATAGGGCTTTCTGCGCTGTCTTCAGCACTCCTCAAACCCATGTACACAGAACAGGTACAACAAGCAAGGAACCGTAGACCAGCCACGGCACAGCTCCAGCTTCGCATCCAGCTCGGAGCTGAACTCCTGGCGCAGTCGCCGCTCCAGGTTCGCGATGTTCTTCTCGAGTTTGGCCGCTGACATGGCATCCAAAAGCTCCGCGTAGATCCAGCGATGCCACCAGGCTACCAATACCGATCTCAGTGATCTCCTAATGATATTATATTAATATGGTAAGACTTTGACACGGGAGTAAAGCCCTGCCTCCGGAAGCTCAGTGATCCCAAACTCGGGTCTTGGTTTGCTGTGGGCCGTCGTTGGGGCAAACTTCAGGATCTCCAGGCCCTCGATCCCGATGGACGTTGCAACAAATCCCGCTGTGCACGCGACCGACCCTGTGAAGCTCGCCCCCGAAACTCATGAAACGTGAAAGGATCCAAGGTTGAGGTCAATGCCAATCTTGACATGCTGCTATTGTGGTTTGGTTCGACGGGGGGTTTGCCCTAGAATGCTTTGAGGCTCGGAGTTCGATGGAGGATCGGAGTATGGTTCCAAGCTCGAGGAGTCGGGAGATCTGTGTTTCGGGGGGCTCATGAAAGCCCTTTGGGACTGGGTGCTCTATGCAAGGTCTTTCTGCCAGCAGTAAGCCCCGGTGAACGCAAGCTCTCTGGCTCTTTGTTTCTTGGTGCGAGGCTGCCAACAAAAGGGTCTCGCGGTCGGCAGCTCTTCTTGGGGCCTGACAGCTGAGGAGCCCGACTCCTTGGGGAGTCTTAGCCGCTTAGCCGCTGTTGACCCAAGGGGTGCAGTCCCAAAATACAGAAGACAAAGAGACAAGGATATACAGCTCCATTCGAGGCTTCGAGGCTCCAGGGCCTCTTTGGCCAGGGCCGGGCCCGGAATCCGGAACCGCCAAAAACCTCTCAGACCTCGGGGCGCCTGACGGCGCCCTCCGGGCCCTCCGGGCCCTCCGTCGAGCCTAGGCGCTTCTTGATCACTGTCATCGTGCACACGATGCTCACCATTGATTGCAGGCTCGTGGCACCTCGGCATTTCAGGCCAGGTTCGCACACCAGGGCTTGGCAGAAGAGACGGAGTTGCGGGGTTTCCCACAAAAGCACCCTAATCTATGCACTTCAATCAGCTCTAAGACAAAGGTTGGAGTTCCTCTGGGTGCAGGACAGCGGGAGACTTTCTGCAGCCGCTCCTTCTGCAATTCAGGATGTTTCCTCGGAGTGTCGTCGAAAGGGCCCATCCATCAAGGTCAGGGCTTGTGTGGCTTCAAGACAATAGGCGTGCAAGGCTTCGGACCTTGAAAAGATTGGTTAATTGGAGGACTCTACGCTCCACGCTTTGCCTTCTCTGACGGCGTCAACAGCCGGAGGTTTCGGGGCTCCACGCAAGGGCTCTACAAATGCACAGCACGCGGGAAAAGAAGAGCTCTTTGACTCGCCCGGATTCAAGTACCACTGGAGCTCCACCAGCGCTTCAAGAGGCACCTCTTTCGTCAGAAAAGACTGCATGCTCTTCATGAAGTCCTGCGGCAGTGAGTGACAGTGAAATCCGTTTAGCGTCTTAAGGCTTAAGGGCGTATCGACGTCCTCCTCGTCCAGCATCTTGGTCAGATCCTGCGCGGGATCTAATAAGTTCGTTTCAGGCCTCAAACCCTAGTAAGGCATCGGAATAACTGAATGCATCTCCGAAAGTGCCGGGAACTCCAACATGGGAATCCACATACCTAATCCGGCGGCAGGCCGCGCTGTCATCTCGGGCGCTAGGCAGGGTGTGCGGACACTCCTACAGAGGAGCTTGCAAAACAAGCCTCTGAAACATCGACACTGACAAGTCCCAACCCTGTAGCCTAATTGCATATGTACGACAGCTTCAGGCGGTAGGATGCTGCCAGCGCAGTTCAGTGGTCCGGGTCTCACGGAGGGAGGATTTCGGATGTGGTCAGAAACTCAAGTAAATTTCAGCCGACCCCTCAATCCCTTAGAGCTCCCCCGTCTCCACTCTCCACTTGCCGGCAATCCCCCCTCCCTCCCATATCCGAAAAAGAAAAAGAACACAATGGCAGCTTTGCAACTCAGAGAGCCGCCCTCCCCTTCCTAAACCTCAAAGAAGGAGGAGAGGACCTCCAAAGCCGCCCCCGGAAATCCTCTCTGCTCCGAAGCCGCTCCGCTCCACGCTCCGCTCCGCTCCAGCACTGGTCGAACCGCCCCGCTGCGCGGCGCGCCTCCCAGCTCTTCCGGGGCTTCCCCAGGAGGCAAGCCACGCCCTGCGGCCGGCGAGCACCAGCACGTGGCGGCAGGGTGCGTGGCGTGTGGTGGTTTTTCGGGAGGAATCCGGAGTGAAGGAGTGAGGAGCTAAAATCTCAAGCATGGCTCTACAAGACCCGGCACTGAACCGGAGGGAGTTGGGTACATCAGGCCAGTCGGATGCTGCTGCACAGCTGCCCTGTCGCTGGGCCAGCGTATGACTACTGGGAGCCAGCGAAAGGATCCAGATCTATAGAACAGACCCATTTGCGAATTGAGGATTCTAAAGACCTGGGTACTGACCTTGGGCGAGGTGGTTTCAGTTTCTCTTCCCCAAGTCCTCATCCGGGAAAGCCCCTCTGAAGATGCTGCTGGCTTCATCAGAAGGGCTCTCTGCAGGAATCCTACTTCGGAATCACCATCCTTCCTGAATAATCAGCACCATCAGGAACATTTCTTGTGATGGGATGTGGCGCATTTGTCTGGTTTTTAGGGGACCCGCACTCGTCGGCCCCTTCAGCCTTCATGCAGCAAGGCTTTTTCGGATGCTGGGAGGGCCTCCATGGCCAGCCGGATGCACCCGGGCGGCGTCTTCAGAGCTATCAGCTCTTTGATGTCCTGGAGGTCCAACACAGGGCGTGAGGGCGGAGTCTGGGGCCGAGGCCAGAGTGGTTTGAGATTTTACGCTTCAGGCTGCCACGGTCTCTGGCCAGTCTACAACTTCACGACCCAATGCTGTCTGCCCGAAGCTAAAGTCCTTTAAGCTTTTTGAGCAAGCTGAAAAGCATCGATCCTGAACTACCCGAAACTTTGAAAGCAAACCCCGTGGACTCTGCCGAGGTTCCGCCGCTTCCACCGGCGAACTCGCGACGCTGTTCGTGGCCTCGTCAAAGAGCGGCATGGCCTCCTCTTGGCTTATCCTGACGGCTCGCGAGGAGCTTGCGGGAACTCTGTAGACTCTCTATGCTGAGGTCTCCGGTGGAAGAGCTACATCTAAGTTCGGGCTAGAGCCGGCCTGACGAAGATACGTTGGGGGAAGGGGGCGTGGGGTCCACGCATGTTGGGGTGCTGGCCGACACGGTCAAGTCTTAGTTGTCTCGTCCCGAGCTAAGCACTTTCCATCGCTCGTCTCGCGTACGTACATCCGGCTTGCCCGGCACGGCAGACGTCGGACGGTCTCATCTTGCAAGAAAGGAAAGCCTGCAGTGACTGTAGTGACCAGCCGCCGGCCGCGGGCCTTACAGTAACCGGCCTTAGACTTTGCAGCTTGACACCAGTTTGAGCTAGGGGTCTTCTCCCCGTAGGAGAACTCCGATGCGGTGTAGCTGAATTCAGCATTCGCAAGGCCCGCATCGTCAAAACCCTGGTCGCCCAAGGTCTTGTACTCATCCTCGCTCGAAGGGTCACAGTTGGGGCTCAGGGGCTCGGTGACTCGGGAAGCTGTGTCGATGACTGCAAGTTGCTGCACAAGCGTCCATGCTGGTGTCTTTGGAGACGAAGAACTGGATGACCTGAACAAGTTCTCAACTCGTCTTCTGGGCGAGCACTGTTTGGATTCAGGCTTGCTGCTGCATGGTGTATCCCCGTGCAGGAGCGGGGGCTCCGTTTCTTCGCGCCTGCGTCTTGGTTTCCGGCAACTTCTCCCGCAAAGCGGCCGCCAGGTCCTTGTACGCACAGTCCTTTCGTGAGCAGGCGGGGGGGGCCCTTTCGCTGGGGCCCGGGGCCCGGCCCGGCCCGGCCCGGTTGGGGGGGGGGTTGGCGCATCTTGAAGCAGCTTCAAATCTTGGATGTGAGAAAAGGACCTAGGCGGGGATCCCCCCCCCAATCGGCTTTGGTACAGGTCCGATGTTATTAGGAGCCAAACAGCCGAGGCGGCTGAAGTGCACACCAGGCGGAAACTACCCTCGCAGAACGCCGCAAAAATCTCCAAAAGCGCACACAGCACCCTCGGCCCTGGAAAAGCACGACTAAGTGTCAGATATAACCCCACCACTTTCAAAGTCACAAAATTAAGAGGACACCCAACGTGCGCGTCCTTGGTCACAGGCAGCTTCACGATCTCACCCGAGGCGGTCGAACGACATGCGAGGCAGGGGGCCTGCCATTGCGGCATATTCGCGCTGCCATTGTCGGATTTAACGGTTCAGTATGCCAGCATGCAAGGAATTATATAGAGTTTTAGGGCTTGGGGCTTGATGATTTAGTGGCTTATGGCTGAAGGATTAAGAATTCCGGTTCCGATTTTGATTGAGGCGGGAAAAGGAAAAGGTGGATTGAGGTTTGCGGCAGAGGTTCGTGTCACAAAGAGTGCTCGCCATTTGTTTTAGAAGCGTCTGCGTGGCAGCATCCCTTTCTCATCCCAAAAACCTCTGGGTGGCATAGAATCGAGGTTCTGGCGTTTGATCACGTGCTGGGGGTTTCGGATCAACAAGGGCAGTCTCGGGCCCAAGCTTCGGAACAAACCCGGTCAGTTAAACCTTTGCCAGTTTCGGGCGCAGGGTCGTCATTCTCCCACAACCGGTGCTTCTCTGCTTCGGGTCTGGACTCAGACATGCCACTCCTTTCATCGGCTGTGCACTCCTGACGGTTAGGGGATTTCCCCATTGCCGTTTGGAGTTCGTTTGTAGAGGTAGGGTTCGCCACTGCTCTTGCGAAGCGGGACATGAAAAGCTTATTGTTGGGGCGCGTGGGCCTGTGGTTATCCTCGCCTCGCTGCCACAACAAAGGATCTTGGGCATGGTTTGAGATTGGGCTTGCGCGCAAGAAGACCCTTCTGCTCAAGAAAGCCCTTCCGGTGAAATTCTGTTTTCATGTTGGGCCCGTCCGGTGAAATCATGATTCGAAGCTGGGCCCAAGAAGGCCCCTTCCGGTGAAAACAAAGGTTTCAAGCTCGGCTCAAGAAAGCCTTTCGGGTACAAACGTGGCGCGGCTTGCAGCTGGAATCAAAAAAAACCTTCGGTTCAAGCCGGGAGAAAGAAGTCCCTTCCAGTAAGGCATGGCTTCAAGCTGGGGCCCGGAAATCACGGTTTCGGGTGAACTCATGGTTTCAAGCGGCCCTCAACTCGAAATCGTGAAAACCTTCGCCGGCCCAGCCTGCAGGAGTTGCAGGGCCTCCTGCAGCTTGGCCTTTGCCTCGTTTGGGAGCTCCCCGTACGCCCCTGCCAGGTCCGCCGCGCTGGCATCCTTGTGGCGTCAGCGACATCTCATTTCTGAGGCCGTAAGGGTGTGCAGATCCCGCGCGCCTTGCCTAGTGCAACTGAGCCCCTGAGCCCTCTGAGCCCCTGAGCCCAGGGCGGGGCTCTGCCAGCTTCGACTGGGCGCCACTCCCCATCTCGCGAATCGGAGGCAGGAAAAGACCTCAGCCGGAGTCCCGGTCTGTGGGCTTCGGGATCTGAGACACGCGGACACTGTGACACTGCGGGCACTTAAGGCAAAGGCCAGAAGGCACAGATCGGAAACTGCAGGCCAAAAGCCAAAATGGCAGCTGCTACCAAGACGGTTCTAGAATCGCCCTGGCACAGGCAGACCACACAAGAAACAAGATGGGTTCTTGGTACCTTTGCGTGGCACACCGTATGACGTTCTACCGCTCCTGCAACAACCACCGGCGTGTGGGCTCTGCCAAGTGTGCAACTGTGCAAAGTGAAGGTGCGCCAGCTCATTTCCTCGCCGGCAGAAGCCGCTAAGCCGCCTAGCAAAGAAACATCCGAAAAACAGGGGCGGCGGGGCCTGCTAAAGCCGAGGCCCAGGCTCTCTGCCAGTTTGACTGGAGTAGCCGGCCACTTGCCCATGCGCATTATCACTTCACATCACTTCTCATTAATGCCTGGCTCATTCTCGTCGCTCTCCGAACTTTCAGAGCGGAGGAGCTCAGCGAGCGTCAGCAACTTCTCCTTTTCACATCTGAAAACACAGAGACTCTGTCGGCTCCACAACTTTATGGGGTCCTTGGCTCTGTCCGTGTCTTTCGAGAAGTATCTTGCTGGGTCAGGAGTCACTATTCCCACAACTCAATGGCGCAAGAGGCCTCATCGCCGGGCTTCTCGGAGCTGTGGGCAAGTCTAGAGTCTAAAGGAAACTCCGTGATTGAACCGTGCCTTTCTCAATCATCCTACAAGCAAGCATAGCGCTCTTGACTCGTTGCTCGGAGATGCCACCTTGACGAAGGCGAGGTCGTCTTGAACAAGCACTTGAAACTTACCTGGCCGTGCGCTGCACCAGCACTACTGAGACCGCTACAGTGTCCACCCCTTGCACCACCGCGACTGCGGGAAGAACTGTTCATCGCTTAGGACTCCCGAGCCTTGGTTGTGGATGATCCACTCCTGATCCTGGATGATCTTCCCCACGTCCATCGACCTGGCGGCACCCCGGTGGCGGAGGCAGCCTGTGGCGTGGTTCGTCAAAAAGGATACCACGCACACGAAAAGACATGTTTGACCTACGAGGACCTACAACCGACGAAGGGTTTCACAGCTCCGTGGAGGCCTTGGAAGAACTCTTCGATATCAACGGCTCCGCCTGCGCGCGTAGTAGACAACGACGGACACCACATTCCAATGTTCACAACGTTTCGGGATGTCTGAACTTCGAGGAAGAAGCCTTCTCAGGTCTGCAGCAGGAGCCCTTCCAATACGTGTGGTTTAGAGAGACTAGGTATGCACAATTTCTCGACGACTCGCCATGGAGTCACCAAGAAACACTGCACCAACTCCCGGTTGTTCCAAAGCCCTAAGCCTGTTCCAAGATGATGGGTCTCATGAAGGTGAAAACCGCAGGGCTCCATGCTTCCAAGTCGCTCGTTCGTGAGCTTAAACTGTGAGGACACATCGGTTACGAACCCTGGACACAACATATGACAAGCTAGTGCTAATCGTGCACCCGACATACATCGGCCTCTGGCGCAGGAAGTTTATGGACAGCCATCACATGTCCGCCAGCCAAAACTGACCCACACGCCGCCCTACCGACACACCACGTGCACAGTCCTGTACCGCCCCAAACGGTCAATGTACGGGACAGCACCACCAACCCACTCGAGAGCACTGTTTGCAGTGACGTGAAATTTAGCCCGGACCTCCGTCGGCATCCAAAAGCTTGAAAAAAGACCACCTGCTCTGAGTTGGGTGAAAGAAACATACAAGTGTTTTGTCGGTTCTTCGTGCTACCGCAAGCTTCGTGGCAGGCTTGATACTGCTCCGTAACGGAACAAAAAGCCATGTGCTCCTCTCATGCACTCTTCTGTGGTTTCCGTAACATACCATCCTGCGCAACGACAGCGTTGAAAGCAGCCTGCCATCTGCATCCAAGGCTCGCATCCCACACGTTCAGCCCCAAAGACTCCAAAAAATCGTGCACTTCAGGATTCTTCATCTTGGTTTCGAAAGCTCCAAGGGTGAGTTGGCCACGGTCGCAGCCATCGGAACCAATTTCGTAGAATAACGACTGCAACTTGGCAAGGATGGCATTCTTGTTGCTGATCATTGTGTGCACCATCGTTGTCTGATCATTTTGTGCACTTTCTATGGCAGTTTGACAAAAAACCGCAGTTAAGACCTCAGCACGTCATCTTAAGAATCGCCACACGCCGAGTGTTCATCCATGCGTTTCATACAAATCTTAACATTAAACAAAAACAAACGTGCCCGATGCGGAAAAGGTGCGTTAAGAACAGCAAAATATGTGAACGCGATAAAAAACCTCGAGTATTGAAATTGTGACAACACACCGTCCAAATCTTGTTGCATTCGTGCCCCATACCAGAACATGTGTCGCCTACATGTCGCATGGCCGGACAATGGTGTCTCCAATCTCGAATCGCAAGTCACGAGGCAGAAAGCAATATGTCCACATGACATTGATCCTCAGCTCGCACGTCTACACTCTACACGCAAGCGCGAGCACGGCTAATCTGTTCTGCTTCAAACTAATGTTCATGCAAATGGTGCGGATTTGATGAAGAACCTGTTGGAGCCACGCGTCGTTCGCAAAGGTCGTATCACGTCTTCCCAATTCACACCGCCGGTGATACCTGGCTGAGATTGCAGCTGCAGGACATATGGCTCGACAGTTCGCAAGAGAATGAACAACTTTTCGACATTGCAGACCCTACCGAAATTGCTATGCATGTCGGATGTTTCTTGTGAATAAACAACAGCATCAAGAGTGCATACAAAAACTTCATCTGCACAATTAACACGTTTAACCATCGGTATAACTGCCTTGAACGTCGCTATGTACAGGCATATAATATATATACACACACATACACATATACATGTACATTTATATGGCTATATGTCTTCATGTATGTATGCCTATGTTTCTAAATGTCCGTATGGTCTGTATGTCTGTAGGCATATATGTATGTAACTTATATGTCTATATGTCTGTATATATATATATACATACGTATAAACAATTTTTAAAATGTCGCTAAGTATGTCGAAATGTTTTTAAATGTGTGTGAATACGTCTAAAAGTGTCTAAGTCTGTCTGCATATGCCTAAATATGTCTCTACCCATGTCTATGTCGAGGTACAGGTATAGGTGTAGGTATAGAAATAAGTTTTTGTACATGTGCATGTACATACACATGTATATGTATAATATGTATATGTATATGTGTATGTATATGTATATGTACATGTATATATGTATATGTATATGCATATGTATATGTACATGTATATGTACATGTATGTGATAATATGTATATGTATACGTATATGTATATGTATATGTATATGTATATGTATATGTATATGTGTATGTATATGTATATGTATATGTATATGTATGTGTATGTGTATGTGTATGTGTATGTGTATATGTATATGTATATGTATATGTATAGGTACATGTGCACGTGCACCGGCCTTAAACTGGTTGGCCGTTCAATGCTCGCCCACCCTAAACCGATCTGCACCCAATAAAGACCAACTTGTAAAAGAAACAACTGAACAGCGATCTTCATCGTCGCAGCGCAGCAATGTTTAAGAGCTTGTCAATCAGCCGAGCGTCTAGAAATTGTCAATCAGCCGAGCTGGCACCACAGACACAGATGGGCTCAACGTCATCCTCCTCCCGGAAATCTTTATCAAGCGGAGAAGATTTGTCGCCCCCAAAAGCAGAGCAAAAGCGAAGCCTTGGCAACACTTTCGCGAAGCTTGGAAGCCTCGCCTCGTCTTTGGCGGAGCACATCGTCATCGTTTTTTGGTCCGGACGCATGCTTGTGGCGCACCGGCCAAGGAACAAGTTGTGCCACCGTGCGGCTTCCACCGCGGATGGAAAACGTGAAGCACAATGTCCAGCAGTGAACGATACCTGCTCTGGATCTGGGAAATTTCATGAAGCGTGTGACTTAGAAAAGCTTGCGTGCAAGCCCGCATTTTTCGCTTTCGAGCGGGACAGGAGTCCGATCAAACTTTCCTGCGTTGTTGGCCTGCTTCTGCAACAAGCAAGCCGAGACATCATCAAAAGCGCATGGCGTTAATGACCATGTTGGGCGCCCACGACGTCTAGGGGCAAATGGGGACACCGCTCACCGGGCTACACTGCTTCACAGCCTGGCAGGTATGCAGGTAAATGTTGTGAACAGAAGGGTCAGGAGTCAGGAAGTTGCGTATGTGTGTACATTTGGGAAGACTCCGAAAACCCAGCTTTTGACAGTCCCAAACATCAACGCACACCGGAACAGCGTTTTGCTTTAAGTGTACTTTTGGCGACATGTCCAGTCATGCCGCCATGGACATTTGGTGATGTCCTTCGTGGTTGAGCAGATTGAACCAGCATTTATTCCTGATGCAGCCGCCATCACAGAACCACCGAGCCACTGACGATCCTGTCATGTTGTGCTGTGACATGTCGCTGAAGCATACAGCTGTCGGGGAAGGTCCCGTGTGTTCTGGCACGTGTGCTCACCAAGACATATGTTGGTGCCAAAGATTTCCATGCTTGGCACGCTCCAACGAGCCTTTTGAACCTGCGTGCGAAAGGCGGTCACGCAGGCTGTGGAACTGAACCCCCTACAACCACAGCTGTGCTGTGGGGAAGATGTTAAAATGTAGGGGGAAGACCACGCGCCCATATATCTACACATATATTTGCCCATATATACGAGTCCAAAACATCGGATTCCTCCTTGATGGCGCGGGCTGAACCACCTGTGGGCCCCTTGGAACTGCCCTTTGCACTTCCCTCGTGTCAGAAAGTATCTCTTTGCCATCATCAGGTCCCAGTTCCGCGGTATCATTACTCACCGCTCCAGAACTATTGTCTGAAGGGAATCAGGTAAATTTCCATCTCCAGGATGCTGCACTGTATTTTCATCGGCCACAATGCCAATTCCACGAACATCTGGACCCATACACTCCACCACTGCGTCGCCACCAGGGAGATTCACCATTTTTGCCTCCTGTTCCAGGCGTTCTCCAGCGATGTCCAAGCGTGTTCCAGATAAATCTTCATCCTCACGGGATAGTTCCTGGGTTTCCAGCAGGGTATCCATGCCTCCAGCAGCACCACCAACCAATCCACTATCCTCAATGGTATTACCTCTACCATCTTCCCTACTCAAATCTACACTACCCTGAAAAACTTTAACAGACTCAGAACTCGAGGTAGAGGAAGTAGGACCCAGCATTGGTTCAACAACTGTAGGCTCTTTGTCCACCTGAACACCAGTTCCTGATCCGCTCCTCTCAGCCTTCCGAGTTCTCTGAAGAAAAATGTACACCCAACGGGCACTTCCACGTTGTAACTTGTGTGTCCAGACAGTAATAATACTGTCTCCCGTCCTCAGAAATATGAACCTCCCAGCGAGACCCATCCGATGCCACAGCGAATGGCTGCGCTTCATCAGCAAACTTGTTTGAAGCCTCCTCGCTTTGTATCCGCTCGGCCTCCAACTCGACAATCTCAGCAGGGTCCCTATGCCAGACGGACTTTGACCGATCCAGAGCCTCCATTTCCTTAAGGCTCAATTCAGTCTGAGCACCTTGCTCAACCATTCTTTTCCCAGGGGAACTTGATGAAGGCAGTACATTGTGCTTCTTCAGGACACTTAGGATCGTGTCTTCCAGCGCCGTTGTCTCGCCAGATCGATCCCACGACCTCTTTTCTCCAGTCCTTTCAACACTCGTGCCTTCTCTCAAAATTCCTCCAGCTTCATTGTCCATATCCACATTGGGATCTTCCTCGCTTCCAGCTCCGCTGTCTTCCACTGGTACCTTCAGCTGCCGTCACATTGGACTCTGTCGGCACCAATTCGCCAGCACGAAGCCATCGTGAGGGTGAGGGCATTGCCTCTTCAAACCCCTGAACTTGAGGAAACAACTGCAGGGAACCTAATTTGGGCTCAGAACCTCCGGGGGCCAACCAAAAGGGGAAAAAAGGAACTATCACCCCTAACAACTGCCCTAATATATTCCCTAGACCAAACAGAGATACAGAACACGCACAAGAAGAACCAGGGAAGGGAGTAGGGGCTACCTATGACTAAGCACTCAGGCACCAACCCCAACCACCAGGCTTTACTTTTTTACTTTTCCAACCACTAGTGTGAGCCACAAATCCATGGGTACATTGCCCTTTCCAAGCCTAAAACAACTGCTCCGCACCCTGAACCCCAAATCCTTTAACAAACATGCAGCAGGCCTCATTCAACCCTAACCCCTCAACCCTCAGCCCCAAACCCAAACACTAAGCCTGAAATCCCACACCTAGAGCGGGAGAGAGAGAAGGGTGGTAGCGTTTAAGGGTTTAGGGTGTTTTAGGGAGTTTGACAAGGGGGGTTGTTGAGGTCTTCAGGGGATGTTGGGCTGTTGGGGCCTAGAGGTTGTAAGAGCCTAGCTACCCATGCAGTCTTCATGGGATCCTACACTGCACCCATCTTGACTCCTCCACCCAAGCGGGGTAAGCCTGAACCCTAAACCCCTAAACCACAAGTCACAGTTAGAGTCAATTAGAGTGCACGGTTGCGCGGAATCCCAACTCTTCACCCTTTCCCTATTCTTTGGCAGCATGAGGGAGCACGACTGCTCAACTGGACCCCACCCCTACATTGCCAACTTCACAAACCCCTTAAACCTCAGAAGGGTCCTCTTCTTCTTCTGCACTGCCTTGAGCCCCCCCTTGTTGGGGGACCCCGGCCGCGATGACCGTCTCTCTCTCTCTCTCTCTCTCCCCCTAAACCCGTAAATCCCCCAATGTCGATGTATGGCTTTGGGGTGAAGGGTTTAAGGGTTTCAGGGTGAAGGGTTTCTTATGTGGCTCAAGAGGGTCTTATCTAGGAAATGTGTTTGGAGAGGCCTGGATTGGCCAACCGAGTAAGAAACCTAAGCGTCCTGAAGCCTTGCAAACTGGCAAAAACAATTCATTTAGGGCTTGTTGCTTTGGGATTTAGGGTTTAGGGGTTGAGGGTTTAGTCGATCTAAGGAGGAGTGCACGGGATGTTCCTATCTTCAAACATCATTTTGATACATATACATATACATATACATATACATGTACATATACATATACATATACATATACATATACATATACATATATATATATATATGTAAACTATGTATGTATGCATGTCTGTCGGCATGTATGTAGATTTGAAAATGCCCAACCCAAAATATATCGAAGACGACTGGATGAAGGCGCGGTTTCCGGAGCGAAAAACCAACTGCCCCACAAGTAGCTTTCAACTTGGATCATCAACTCTAAAACCTTATGTCCTTAACCCCTGAAAACC